GGCAGAGTCTAAAGAGGACCACACCAAGACACATCATATTAAAATGCCAAGAGCAAAAGACAAAGAGAGAATCTTAAAAGCAGCAAGAGAAAAACAGTTACCAACAAGCAAGCACCCATACAACTGTCAGCTGATTTCTCAATGGAAACTATGCAGGCCAGAAGGGAGTGGCAAGAAATATTCAAAGTGATGAATAGCAAGAACCTACAACCAAGATTACTCTACCCAGCAAAGCTATCATTCAGAATTGAAGGTCAGATAAAGAGCTTCACAGATAAGAAAAAGCTAAAGGAGTTCATCACCACCAGACCAGCATTATATGAAATGCTGAAGGATATTCTCTAAGAAGAGGAAGAAAAAAGGTAAAGAGAAAAATTATAAACAACAAAGTGTCAACAAATACACATCTATTAACAAGTGAATCTAAAAATCAAGTGAATAAAAAATCTGATGAACAGAATAAATTGGTGAATATAATAGAATCAGGGGCATAGAAAGGGAGTGGACTGACAATTCTCGGGGGGAAGAGGGTGTCGGGGGGTACAGGAAGAGATTGGACAAAAATCTTACACCTATGGATGAGGACAATGGGGGGATAAGGGCATGGGGTGGGGTGGGAACTGGGTGAAGGGGAGTTATGGGGGAAAGAAAGAGGAACAACTGTAATAATCTAAAAAAATTTTTTAAAAAAGAATGATGGTTGCACAACATTGTGAATATGATTGATGCTACTGAATTGTACACTTAAAAAATGTTAAAATAGCAAATTTTATATTATATATATTAGTACAATAAAAATTTCAAATATTAAAAAAAAAGAATCATTTAAAGCAAAACACACTTCCCAGTCAAAATGCTCCCATGAACAAGACCATATGTAGCTTGTATTATTTCTGTAAGCACCTAAAAGTACTTTGTTCATAGCTTTGGGCCTGGTATGTCTAGCAATCTTTTCCTTTCTTGAATTTCTCCCACCAGCGAGGGGGTGGGGAGCCTTGAGGAAGCTGGGCTGGTGGTGAAGTGCCTGGGCTGTGCATTCCTTTCCGCGTGCTGCTGTATCACAGCCGGCCATGCTCTGCTGTATAAGTTCATCAGATGACGCTGCAGAACAGACCCTGACCAGAGGGCGAGGGGCCAGATGGTAGAGCAGCTACAGAGTCGCTCTTCCTCCAGAACAGCATCTGGGAACCGGCAAGATCCCTAGTTTACTGATTCTCTGTATTCATTTAATACATCTGAGAGCATAAGAATGGGCCAATTCCTAGGAGGAAAAAATAATATCAGGCATTGCACTTTTGTAAAGTATTTCCAGACTATTATTATCTCTCTTCTCAATTTGTTTTACTTCCGACATAGAGCAGAGATGGTTCTCACTTCTCCTATGCTCTAAGTTTGGACTCTTATCTGAAAAGAACATGTTTTAAAAATAAGGATACATTAAATGACAAAAGATTTAGAACTAACTGTAGTGTTTTATATAGGGGCACCTGTTCAAAATAAGAAAAAAAAAGTGGAGCTTTTTAAACAAGATTGCTTGTATTGGTGGCATTTTCAGGCACAGCCCACATTCACCTGCAGTGGGTGCTTTGACTCATAATCATAGATTGATCATTGAATCAATGTATGTTCGGGCAGAGGCATTTGGTGGGCTCCAACGCCTCCAGGATGGGTCTGACCCAGTCCAGGGCGGAGCATAGTGCCTGGTCCTCAGTACCCAAATGTGTAACCGACAGAACTTTACTCCACAACATTCAAGGGCAAGGCATCCTTTTGCAAACCAAAATCAAGTCACTGTGGCTTGGCATGAAATTGACAGTGAGCTAAGTCTGGGAAGCTATCCCTGTGAGACAGGCAGAAGTTCTAAGGGTTTTATCCTGAACATCTGGTCTGAAGTGGTCAGAGCTTCTGGTCTGACATGGCATTGTGACCCTCACTTGCTACACTTTTTGTCTTTGGCTTTGGGGTCCACTTAAAGACATGAGACTCCCCGTTAGGACTGGACACAGAGATCTTTGCCAAACCTAGCTCTGATCTTGGTAGTTGCACCTGCAGCCATTCTCTCCACTCAGTTAATCATAAAAAAAAGGCTATACTTAGCCCATAGTTGATGTCCTTGTGGCTTCCAGATACTGAACTATTGGCTTGTCTCTACCTTCTGAAACTCATCTTCCTCGGCCATTTTACTATTGTTATCTCCTGGTTTCACTGGCTTTCACTTCTCATTCTTTCTCTTAAATTTCTCTTTCTTAATTATAAAAATAATATAGGTCTTTATCAAAAATTTAGGGAATATCACCAAGTAGAAAGAAAATAACTGTGAACACTAAGAATTCAAGCACCCAGAGATATCCACTATTACCAATTTGGTGAATGCCACTAAGAATTAAGCTCCACATGGCAGGGATTGTTATCTGTTAACTGCTATTTTTCAAGGGCCTGGAATCATGCCAGGGCCATATAACAAGAGCTCAATAAATATTTGTTAAATGAATGATTGGATGGATAGCATTTGAATTGCTTTTTATATATATATGCATAAATACATATGTGTATATATGACTAGAATATATTAAGAAAGTTGAGGTTATATTCTACATTGAGTTTTTTTAAATATATTTTTATTGACTTTTAGAGAGATAAGAAGAGAGAGAGAGAGAGAGAGAGAGAGAGAGAGAGAGAGATAACATCAATGAGAAAGACACATTGATTGGTTGCCTTCTACATGCCCCCTTATTGGGGATGGAGCCCCAAACCTGGGCATGTGCCTTGACTGAGAATCAAACTGTGACCTCCTGGTTCATGGGTCAACACTCAACCACTGAGCTACACTGGCTAGGCTACAAAGAGATTTTTATTCTATTTGTTTATAAGGCTGTTTCCTCCTATAAAACATGGGCAGATTTGTGGGGGAATCCTCACTTTTTGGTGGACTCTGAGGGTGAGTCTAGGGTCCCCTGCAGCCTAAGATTCTGTAGACCATTAATATTTGTTCCTAGATGGGAAAGAGAGCAAACTAAAGTGGGGCTATATGACCCCTAGGGCTGCCTTCCAGGATGTGGGATTTGTCTAATGAGATGATCATTTATCCATGTTATTTCATGTTTTCCTTACAGATGCTTTCAATAGTATTGAGAATTCCATTTATAGAACAGCCTTCAAATTACGATCTGTGCAAACCACATGTCAACGTAAGTAGAACTCTCTGAAACCCTGGAAATAATTGGTTCCTGATGCGCTATGTACATTCAGAAAGCAAACCAAAACTTATGTGAGTGAGGTTAGACTCAAGAGGTTGCATCTGTGCATTTCCTCCACTTGTAACAGAGAATATGGAGGGAGGGGAGGACACCATGTGTGTTCAACCTAAGGGTAGCTTCAATGACTGAAATAGAAAATGATTTTTGGATGAAGATTTTTTTCCCCTATTTTGTTTCTGAAAAAAAAAAATGTTGGTTTCCCTTTCAGGATATCAATATTAACACAAAATAAAATTACAAAATAGGTTAGTTTAGAAATCTGTACTTGTAGATTTAAATTTAACATTTTAAAATTTATTCTACCTCATAAGATTTTCATTTTCAAGTTGTACTTCTCTCTCTGAACATGTCAAAGTAGGTTCAGGTGAATAATTCCTGGGCCATAAATTTTAAAACTATGTTGAGAATTCCCTGTGAACTGCTCTTTTGTGTTAAACTTAGATCTGATTGAATGCTATGGTTTTCTTTTCTGGTACTGTTATCTAAGCAAAATAAAGTAAATATTATAAAAACATTTATCCTGGCCTGGCCAGCGTAGCTCAGTAGTTGAGCGTTGACCTATGAACCAGGAGGTCACAGTATGATTCTGGTGAGGGCACATGCCAAGTTGTGTGCTCAATCCCCAGTAGGGGGCATGCAGGAAGCAGCCAATCAATGATTCTCTTTCATCATTGATGTTTCTATCTCTCCTTCTTCCTTCCTCTTTGAAATCAATAAAATACATTAAAAATTTATCCTGTAAAAATTCTCCAACATGAAATAAATTGGGTCTTGGCTGTGAAAAGCAATAGGCATTCAGCACACCTAAACTTACTGATTTCTAATTAATTCTGTATTACATTTTTAAAAATCACTTTATGTGAAATGATTTATGACATTAATATATCAGACCTAAAAGAAGCTATGATATATATATAGAGAGAGAGAGACCAATGAATTTCAAATTCTGCTTCACAACAGTTTGTGCATGGGTATGATGTAGGACACAAAAGGGTTAGCAAGGTGGGGAAGGAAGAATAGACAACCCAGGAAAATGCAGAAACCATCTCCTCAACCAGAACAACTGTATTTCTCTATTTTCCATACTGCCTTTCCGTATCAGGGTCTTTTGAAGCAGAGATTCTGAAAGAAAGAAAGAAAGAAAGAAAGAAAGAAAGAAAGAAAGAAAGAAAGAAAGAAAGAAAGGAAGAAAGAAAGAAAGAAAGAAAAGAAAGAAAGGAAAGTATTAAAAATAAAGTCCTGGCTGGGTAGCTCAGTTTTTGTTAGAGCATCATCCCAATACACTGGGGGTTTGGGTTCAATTCCCAGTCAGGGCCTATACAAG